AGACGCACTTTTCCTTGTCCCGGAAAAATTCGAGCCACTTTTCGCGTCGCGTTATCTCCTCTTTCCTATCATTACTCGAAGGGCGATTTAAATTGGCGCCTAAATCCCTCATAATGCTAATAATGTGCCTATGGTCGTCAATTATATCCCCTATATCAATACCCCAAAAACCACTCCCAACTGCAAGTACTTTTAATCGCTCTCCCCCACCAGGCTCTGGGTTCACCTCCGAAATTGGCCCATGCGACCACGCCCTCACACCCCCTAATACTCACTTCGTTTGCCCAACCCAACTCCAGCCGAGCCTATCGGCTGGCTTTCGTGACTCTATTGAAATCAATAAAATATAATATATCTTTGTTATTAATTATTGTTATTATATTATACGTCCATTAATTGATTTGGATCATTTGGAATCAAAACCAAAAATTCACAGAAATGGATGTGGTAAGAGATCGTACATAATGCCACCATCGCCTTGGAATGAAAAGCATGTCTCCTGGTCCCAGGATGGTCTCCACAAAAGCAGCATGAGCAAAGTCAGGGTGCACCTGGCGGGAAGAGCAGAGAACCTACATAAGGTTCGTGGAGTCCCTTTTCCCCTCGCCTTTCGGTTTCTGACATTGTTAGCTGGGCAATTTGGAGCAACTCAGCGACCCCAAACCGCTACCTCGAGATCAGGATGCTCGACACGGACAGGTGAGTAGGAGGCCCCGTGTTTTTTCTGACGATCTCGAGGAGCATCCCTTGCATAGAGCCGTTCCCCCTCAGCTGGGCTATAAAGGCGCAAGTACCTCAGCAACAACTGCACTGTCATTGTCTGCAGCTCTTGAGGACTTTTTGTACAGTAAGGCTCGCACACTTTGCGCATGTACAGGAGGATCACAAAAGGGGGTGTTTAAATACTTTGAAGAGGTCTTGCCATTCATACCAACCAAGATACTTATAGCCAGAGACTTGCACAAGAAAGTTGTCGTCCAAATCATAATGCAAAGCAGTGACAGTGCCAGCAGTCCCAATCCAAACGTTCACTGTCTGGAGCTCTCCCAAGGCGCAATATTGCGGAATTAAAATATCTCTTCGCAGCTCTGGAATTTGCAAAAGCAACTGATGCTGTGCCATGTAGGCGACAGGAGAAGCTGACCACTCATCAATGGCTTCAGACGACCTGACAAATCCGTTCTTCAGAACTGTATTGGAAGGCAGTAAAAAGCGCCTTACAAAGTCACCGAGCCGCATGCTTCCCTCGGAGTCTGAATGCTGAAGGGCTATACTTTGCGCATCATTCTCGTGAAATCCCATCTCAATTGGAATGGTCCTATGGCCGTGACGCCCGGCCCAGAACCTCAAATCACTCCACCTTGCAGTGCTCCATCCAGCAGAGAGCAGGTGACCTTCAATCACTCCAGGCTGTTGGGTCTTCAGAAAAGCATCTCGGAAACCCATCACCGAAAGATGTGAACACGGCTTTCGAATTATGGGCTTTTGAACTTCTGGTGTTTTTGCCGTTGCTGGTAGCATGCTTGGTATTTCCCATGCTAGACCATCCTCAAGGATGGGAAGCACGTTTTGACAGCGTTCGTTGCACAGCTTCATGACCGTATGGACTGCTGCGATCGGGAGATCGGGACACAAAGACAGTGACAGGTCTGCATGAAGCATTGCTTTTTGTTCATCAGCTTCAGTTGCAGCCAGCATCGCATGCGACAAGGCGTGGGCATGCAGCACCGCTTCAGTGGGAGACTTCTGCAAGAGGTGCCAGGCGGCAGCAACGCATTGTGCGGCTGCCTTGGCGCATTGGTCCAAATGGCCTGCATCAAAGGCTTTTGCGGCTTCCAGCAGCAGGGCTGAAGCAGCTCGTCCCTCCGCCATCAAAAGGTCGCAGGCGGTTGGAACATATTCATCCAACGCATCCTTGCCATTGGGAAGGCTCAACTCAAGAAGAATAATAGGTAAGAAAAAAACAGCAGGTTCTCGTAGCTGGGTGCTCAAAGCAAGTAAGTAATGGATCCTCTGGGATGCCCCTCAAAATAACCGTTCCAGCTCCAAATGCACATAGAACGCTTGTGGACTTGCGTTTGGAAGAGTGAGTAACCCAGTCGAAGGCGAACATCTTGCAAAGCAACTATACGGGTATGTTTATGTGTATGTATAGGCATGCAGCAAATTCACAGATACACAGGCAGCTGCATGCAAATGTGTCAATCTATTTTACCGTGGTTGGAGCTTTCTGGGAGCCCATGTGTGCATAGAATTATTGTGTATTTATTTTCCATTGCTAATTACATCTAATTACTGTAGTCATTCCGTCCTTTAGAGGCTCATCCGCAAAAATGCGCTTCTTGAAGTAAGGATGCTCTTCCGCCGCAACACCGCCGACTCCACCTGATGTGCCAACCTCCGGCACCGGAGCCGGTGCTTCACCGAACAGTGTCCACTCAGGCTCGCAGGAGTTGTGTTCCATGGGCCGTTTCATGGAAGAAGGGGCTCCGAGAGGCTTGCGTTTGGGTGCCCCATGTTCAAGATCAAACGCGAAGTCTCAGGTTCGAAGGCTTGCTGCACTAATCGCACTACTTATGGTTTGTGCTCGTGTTGTTGTTTGAGGGTGTGAAACTCTGTGGGATAGGATCTATGCATATCTACCCTGTTCAATGGCCCGACATCATAACTCAAAGACCATGGGCTGAAACGTAGCTGCTGAAACGCAAACATCGCAGTGCCAATAGTTACAGTATGTTACAGTATATAGCAGTTGCTGAAACGTACAGAGTTGTGGAGTATTTTATTTGACTGGGTTGTTCCTGTTCAGTTTGAAAACATCCAACTTCCAACCAGAATCAGAAGTGGCTGCAGGAGTTGTGACTTGGGTCGGTTCTTGCGGATGCTTGTTGATTGCACTGCGCAAGTTCCCTAGTTGATTGCATGCAGTCAGTGTCGACCTGAAAGCTCAAGAATGCAAAGCTTTTGCAGGGTCCAGCGAGGCCGCAACAAGATCAGCCTTACATGGTTCCGCTTATGGATCTGCTTTCGCAGTGCGGTTCACTGCTATTCCAATTCTTAAGAACATGTAATTGTATACATCATTTGACCCAGGTTCTCCATTATCGGTAGTAGTATTCTGTGTGTTGACAGTGCCAGTGTAGGCTCACAAGAGGTTCTTGCAGTTTTGGGACTGGACAATGACTCCTTGAAACGGCTCTATGAGGCTGGGGTTCCTACGAGAATCCCAGAGAACCCTCCAACAGGAATCGAAAAGGGGATCCAAATGGCTATCCGACGATCTCCCTATGCAACGATCTCTTGATTCCTTTCCACAATTACTTTTTCATAAAGATCGGTTTGCCCTTGAGCGTTTCGTTTCTTTCTTTGGTCTTTTATAGCCTTATAGGGAAGCTCCAATCGCATGCCTTGTCAAACACCCCCCAAACTTCCAGTCTTCCCTTTGGAAACTGTCGAAACTATGCCAAGTTTGTGAGATTTTGCTGGAAGGGTTTCTGACCAGCCTATGTAGCCAACGGGAGTAGCTTGTCCACTTTGGAGTCGAGAAATCTGAGGACTCTTCAAATCATGATTGAGACAGCCCCTGTCTTTGTCCTCATCTACAACCGGTCAGAGTCATAAGCTTGGATCCAAGTTGAAAATAACTGATAAAAATGTCGAAAATGGATGAACACGGATCCAGCCTGGCCATCATTGTCAAAAAGGATTGCACGCGTGGACGTTGTGCCCTGGTCAATGGCCAGCACATAGGAGGGCGCCATGCTGTACCACCGACCCCAGCAAAACACTAGGCCGACTTGATTGGTACACAGGTACCGCTGAAGCGCATCCAGGCTGCAGAACAAATGTGTGTCATTACTTCCTCTGTTTTGTAGTCCGTCTAGTGTGTCGGGTTGTGCAACACCGGATTTGCACCAAAGCTCCCATCGAGCAGGACATGTCTTGATTCTGTGGCTTGGACAGACAAGATACGAAGCACCACGGCCAGGTGTGCTTGACCAGGTCGAGAAATTCATGACTTCTTCTGCCCAGCAATACGCCACAAAAACATCGCAGGACAAACCGTCAGGGTGCTTGAGTAGTGCTCCAGCTCATGTTGTCTGCAGATCTTGCTAAAGTTGGTGAAAGCCGGCGAAACTTCTATACAAACTCACGCAGCGCTTGTGCATAGGAAAACGACTCTCAAAGGGATGTGTAGACGAGACACGGTCAAGAGTGACGCTCTCACACAACAAAATGTCAAGGGCAACCTGAAATGCAAAGCCAATCTCCATGGCGCAAGGGATGTTGAGCAATTGTTGTCATTGTCCACTACATGGTCCTTCCATATACGCCATGTTCACCAGTGCCAATGGCATCTCAAAACGTTCGTTCGAGCGGTTCAGAATGCCAACAAAAGTGCAAGCATGATCTGAACAAGCTGCATGAACCGAATCTCTGTGGAAAAGGGCAGCTGAAGTCTTTGGTGATTCGATAGTGTGAGTTCATTCCGACAACCAGGACACCGAGACACATTGAGATTTGGCCGCTTTGGTTCGGCAAGTCGCGGTGATCGATGAGGCACGATGACTAGTTGGGCCACTATGGATGCCCAATGCACTATGGATGCCCTAGAAAGCAAAGTTGTTGGGTGGACAATGATAAAGTTAAAGCAGAGCTCCCCACGATCAAGTGAGCATCTTACCATCAACTGAGCAGGTTGGATTGAAATGGATTGAACTCCAACAAACCATCACGGCATCTGTAGGACGTCGATTCACAATCTTTCAAAAGTGTTTGACGCCAAATGAACTAACAGAAAAGGACTTGTTTTGAGCAGCTCTGTCACTCCATTACAGCGGAAACCATGGCTTGAGGCTGCGCTTGCCAAATCAAATCATGGTGTGTATATATATATACACCATTTATATCCATATATGATTATATATATATGGTCTATGAATCTTGTGTATGAACTAACTAACTGTAAAATACGATCCACTTTGCAGTTGACATAAACCCAGCAAACACACTAAAATCAATGCAAGCAACTTGCTTCCAGCACGCATCTTGTCGCTGTCTGTCATTGGCTGGGCATGGCAAACTCATTTCAGCTCCTTCTAGCTACTTGGACATCATTCTAGCTACTTTCCGCATGAAATCAACTCAAAGAAGCAAGCATTTTCTCCGCCGGTTGGCCTGGGTCTAAGGAGCCTTGAAATCCGCAGAAAAATGGCGTGTTGGGAGAACGTCTATGCAGCTGACATGCTTTTAGACAAAATCAGCTCATCGGTCCGAAAATCTGGCTGCTGCTTATCAAAGCCACGTGCCAAATAATCTTGCTGATAGCTACTCCTCAAGCCTTCCAACATACTGAACTTGGGCATCCAGTCAGGCACATCACGCTTGGCCTTCTCAATGGAGGCAAAGAAGTGCATGCCACGAAAGGGAAAGGCTTTGGGAAATCCATCTGGCACCTCCACAGACTTGGGATCATAATGCACGATCTTCGGCTCAGCCATGCCTGCTGCCTGTGCACAAAGCTTCGCCATGCCATCGAAGGTCACGTACTCCTCGCTGGAGATGTTGTAGACCTGGCCCTTGACTGCTGGATTGCCAATGCATTTGATCATGAAGTCAGCCAGGTCCTCACAGTGTCCCAACTGGGTGATGTACTTCCCGTCATAGGGAATACACACCGGCCGCCCCCGCGTCACCCGATCAAAGAAGTAACGCTCCACGGGGTTGTAGTTCAAGGGGCCGTAGATGTACACTGGACCTTGGGAAAACATTGGTCAACATTGGGCATATAGGGTTGAAACATGCTGACACGTTCCGGCGACAACATCATGGCAACATCTCTTGGATATACTACCCCCAGGTGAGTTAGGAGTTGTGCCAATTATGAGATAAGTTGTTTCTTGCACAAGTCCTGGCACATGTGTCCGCGAAACGTTGACTGAAACCATTCAAAAAGCACATGAGTCACATGAGATAGGAGTCATACTCTTTAAAACATTTTGGGGGGGGCGGGGGAGTGCCCCCAATTCACCTCTCACCAGTGTCCTTTTTGGAATACATCATTTCAAAGAGATAGGCTCAGCTACCCTCTGGTGTTCTTGATTTTGATGGTAGATGCATGATGAGATGGGAGTTGTGGACACACTTGGAAACACATGAGATGGAACTTTGAAGTTTGCACAGTCACTTCACAAGTCCCAAATCACTAGTGGATAGTATACCTCACTCACCCCAGGCCCTTAGGGCTATCAAAATGTCAGGATGGCCATGCCAGGGCCAAGGGACGGATGGAGGTCCAGTTCATACCCTGAGAATCCAAGTACTGCTCGCATTGCAGCTTCTCCTTGTGTCGGGAGTTTGGATCACCTGGGTTCTCCTCACTCAAAGGGAGCACATCTGTAGGACCATACACACCGGCACTGCTCATCAAAATGAATTGCTCACAGCCTCCGGTGCTCTGAACCCCCTCAACCAAGGGTTGAACTTCAGCCAACTTTCGCACGTTGTTGTCGAAAACGATGTCAAACTTTCCAGCACCAGCCAAGGCAGCTTTCAACTGTGCAGGGTCTTTCCGGTCGGCCACCAGCACACTGACACCCGACAGCATCTGTTGATAGTCAGCATCACTTACCTGCAAAAACACGACAAATATTGCACAATGGAACCAGTCTTCACTTCCGACGAGCAAACAAACAGCACCAACAAATAGTGTGAGACAAAACTATACCCAAGGCACGCCAGGAAGGGGTTCGGGTTTGCCTCCATTCGTCTTCCCGCGGTTGCACACAACAACATCATGGCCTTGCTCGCGAAGTTTGGCCACCAGGTAACAGCCGATGAAACGTGTTCCTCCCATGACCAAGCACCTCTTTTTTCCACTGTTTCCGGCTGCACACACCACACGGCTGGTGTCTGCGCGTGATGCCGCAACTCGAGACCCGCGGCGTGTGGCTGCCAAGCCGGCCGCAGCGACAGCGGCACTGGCCACAGTTGCAAATCCAAGTTGAGATGATGCAACTTGCGAAGCCTCTGAAGTGCCGACATGTACCTGTGCCGCCTGTGCTTTGGTCACATCAGCCGCGCGAGGCACTGCAAAAGACTGGCTTGAGAGACTGGATGCCAAGAGTGCACCAGCACCGACCACTGCCACGGAACGGCGAGCCATGGTTGAAGATTATGCTATGAGGCAAAATGCTGCGAAGATGGTATCACCTGCTTTCATGAACAAGCATTGGCCACTTAGCGTCAACAGGGAAGTGAAGGCAGTGGGCAGCTAGCTCATGGTCTTCCTTTCTCCAACAGCGAACTAATGGATTCCGGCTGGCAATTGCAGCCCTGCATGCTTCCTGAGCACGAAGGGACACCAAAAAACAGCATTTAAACACTTCCACCCCTTCTGGTTCTGCTGACACAGTTTGAGGTAGGTCGTGGTCTTTTAGCTGTGAGGAAAAACAGCATCAAGGCCTGCACTTTTGTGGGGCAACTGAGGTTCAAAGTTGATTCGGATGATCTTCCCAGCCTTCAAACTGCGGAAAAGCAAACATGACAAGGCGAACAGCGCCGAAACCGCGGTTGGTCTGAGAACGTTCAACGCGCAACATGTGCATAATCAAGGCATGCTCTTTGACTTCGAGGACCGTGCGACCACACTGCACCGCCGCCGAGAACTTGAACCTCAAATGACCCCAAGATCGAAGACCAATTTGACGTTAATAAACTGGACCCCGGCCCTATAGTCGGCAACCACGCAAATCACAGACCGACCAAATAAACATCCGCCGTTTCACCAAATATATGTGCTGCAGTTCTGGGGTGCCTGATCCCGAGAAATCTGAGCCCGGCTGTGCGATTCAGCAAGGCTAGTAAGCTCACCAAAGCTATTCCCATTAGTAACGATGAGCGACGGGCAAAACCTCCAAGCAAACTATGTTCACTCACACTGTGGGTATCGGTTATATATCATGTTTGGTAGTTCGCCGCGATATGGTCATCGTTGACAACAAGAAGCTGAGCAGCTGCTCAGTGCGACGTGTATCTTTTTAAGAACGCATCGACGTATTATGAACGTTCAGGTGCACATCTATCTGCCCTCTTCCCATGAAATTGTGCTACACACTTTGTATGGAAGTCCTCGCGGCAGTTGCCTTGATCTAAGGAATTCTAAGGGAAAAGTGGCGTAATGTTTCTTGATCTTGACCAAAGGGCCCCAATATGTATACATAGAGCTTGCTCTCTATCTGCCCTCAATCAATGGTCATCCTCCGCTTTCCCCCAAGGAAGTTTTGCACAGCATCTAACCGGCCAAGCGAGAGCGGCATGTTATATAAATTGCATTAAAGAATTAATGGAAGACCAAGAAGCTGATCTTTATCATCTTTATTATAAAAAGCCCCTGATGACGATGTCCATGTCCCAAATGATGTCGATGATGATGGTGGTGCTGTTGCTATTGTTGCGGTTGGCTGTGGGCGTTGTCATTACTGGATGTTCGCTACTGCTTTTGATTCGTGCCCTGCAAAATCTCCACGTTTTGGGCCAACAACACACACCTCCGGCTGAGCCGCTGTCAGATGTATGTCTGTTTTGTGCTAAGGCAAGTGATAGCTGCAAGCGCCATCAAGGGGCTGCAGTCTACCAAGTGAACGACGCATGAGCCATGCGAGCAACAAAGAGCAAACCGGAAACCAACAAACCAGTCTTGCCGGCCACCAATGACAAAATGTCGCAAACGTCTTAATCAGCTGTGTGTTGGCGCAATACGCCGCATCAACTCACAGGAAACAACAAACAGCCCCCATCATGATCCATCAAAGAACACTTGTGAATGTGTTGGACGAAAGAGGAAAGCCACATCAATGAGAAGAAGGCAAAGCCTGGAGATATCAAGAAGCTACTAGGAACAAGTGCATCGCTAGTAGTAACAAGTGCCTTACTAACAAGAAGCTACTAGTAACAAGATGCATCGCTACGAGCAACAAACAGCTGGAGCTGGGCAGCTGCCTGGCCAAACAACCAGCATGTGTGCAGCAATGTGGGGATTTCTGTGCTCAGGTTCAGGCAAAGGTGTCGAGGCTGTTGAAGTCTATAGCATTTGACCTGACACTGATGATATTACAGTAAGCGCCCAAAGCTTCCCAGCAATAGGCTTCTCAAACATCAAATCTCTCTGTCGAAATCACCTGACTGCAAAGATTCTCAGGATTGGTTGAACTCTGAGGCCCATGCCATGGGTATCATGGGTAAACATCGCACGCAAGGACGACTGTGGTCGTCTTGATCCGAAACCGTGCTGTTGGTCACTCTCTTTCCCATCTTCGTGAAAACTCCAACCCATGAGCTCACGCAACAAGTTCGATGACCTGTGATTCCTTTATCGCTGGGCTGTCCCCAGCTCTGGCGCTGCACTTGAGGAAGCAACAAATGTGCAATCATGGTAAATATTGGTAAATCATACCCGTCCATCTTGGTTGCCACTTGGACTGGGGTGCTTGCAATACATGATGCATTCCAGCATGCAGTGCGCCTCATTATCTATAATTTAAATAATGGCATCAATATACAATATATGATGTGTCCACAATATATAATTAGTATTATATAATATGTATAGCCTGTATAGCATATAATATATATATATATATCTTCCTTGTGCATAGATCTCCGCGAGTTGATTCAATTGCGCCAGTACGCTGCCACATATTCCGGGTAGATTCTGTCGCTGTGATACAACAGAAACTCTCGGTATCGATGAATCCTTCCACCAGTCCTCGGTGCCACGACCGGCAGGTGCCCCTCTGACTCGCGGCGTGTGAGTCAAGTGAGTCAAGTGTTGGGTGTCGGACTCTGCCAGCAAGGAATGGTGAAGTACAGGAGGACTGGATCCCTTGATTGCCGCCAATTCGCGCCTAAGGTTCTGAAGTTGTTTAATGGTTTTATGGTTTTGTCGTTTTCGGGTGTCCCAAAGCCCGCCACTCTTTTTTCGACCAAACACTCCGGCCATCACCTCCGGACATGGCCGGATCAAAGCAACTCTGAAATAAGTACAAGCGTGAATCGGAAAAAGCAATTGCATATTGCCGCACTACCAGGTGGAGGCTAGCTACAAAATGCTATTCCTTATTGTCTACTCAATAAAATACTGAACTTGTGATCAAGCAACCCAGCTCAGTGTCGCCATCCTTGGTCTGGATAAAGTGGCCTTGCTGGTCCAAAATCAACATCAGAAAGTGCAAACTAATTTCAACGCGCCGAAGGCCTAGCAGTACTCGGCAGAACAGAACGTAGTAGACATTGGTGGGATGGTTCACCTCAGAGGTTGGCCCTGTGCAAACTTCTTTCACAAGCCGGCTAGGCAACTTATTGAGCAATCAAATGATGCTAACAACGACCTAGACCTACATGGTTTCCCCGTCATCTGCACATGACGACAAACTCAAGATACCCGTGCAGCCTTGGGAATGTCAAACAGGTGTTTGTGAAGTTCCTGCGGCAAACACTTGCTGTGCTTCAGCGTCCACTGCTCGTTCTTGCAGTGTTATCCAGATCACTCACCAAATGAATATATCATATTCATTAAAGAAAAAAAAAAGCTACAAAAGGCATAGAAACCATTGCCAAGACTGATGCTGACCCTCTCCTTTTGATCACCGTACTTGGCGTCTTTAGTGCAATACTGGTCATTCTTCCCAACATCCTGCGAGAGAGAAGGGTCAGGCGGTTTTTGCAGTGCAGTCTACACGCCACTTCTCCGATTCAGTTTTAGCTCTTCCAAGGAAACCATCTTTGACCACTAAAGAACCGGACAAAATCGGCCAACAGCTCCTCTGCCAAATAAGTGCCCTGGCCAAAAAGACCGCCAGAGAAACGCTCGTTGAGTCCACCTTGTAGGATGCTCAACAGGCTCTCCGGACTGGTGCCGTGGGTGAGGTACCTCATCCAAGTGAGCGAACAACACCTTACTGCATCATCTCAACCCACGTCAAGCGGCTTAGTCGCAAATGCAAACTATTGGCAAAGCTTACACCCTTCGATGTCCTACTCTGGATCTCTGATGATGCAAGCAAGTCATTACTCTTCACACAGGCAAACATGCAGCTCCTTGTCTACTTGTATAACCAAATGCTTTCTCAAGCCTATCAACGCACCGGTATCCCAATGTAAGACCTCACCCAAGCTAATGCACACTGCAAGGTGCACTTCATTGACTCCACCGTCCAGCTCCGCCGGAAGCTTCTTGGTGGCTGTCTTCATCTCTGATCTGATTTTGGGTGATGGCCGAGGTAGGATAAAGAATTTCGAGCTGATTCGTCATATTCAGCTTCTCTGCGATATATTTGCCCCACAGGCCTGGGTGCTCAAGACGCCAGGCAGCCTTCAATCTAAAGCCGGAATATTCTCCGCTTTCCCTCTGGTCTCGGCCTCCTAACGTCCCTCCAGGCCGCAAGGCTTCTTTCAGAGCTGCATGTTCCTCAGGACTCACTGGCACCACACCAAAGGGTAGACCACCTTCCCGCTCCAATAAGGAGGAATTTCTGCAGCATTGTATTTCGGCTTGACAAAAAGTTCCATGGTGAAGATTGGCAAGGCCAACTGGAGGTTTGCTTGCCGCAGCCTGTGGCAGCAACTCTCCTTGTCATATGCCGAGTCAAAGCCTTCCTCGAGTTTGTCATCTAGTTTGCGTCGATGTTGCCGAACACCAATGTCGCACACACGCCCCAATTGCACCCGACACAAGGCCAGGTGTATTTTTCTCGGGTTCTTCCCCACTTGCCGCTTCTCCAGCCTTGTGGACAGAAAGAAGTCCGCCTGCCGTGCTTGGATTGTCCTTCCTTGACCTCCACCCCTCTTCTTCTGTCGTGTGCCAAGCCCAAGTGCCAAGCCTCGCAGGGCACATAAAGAACAACAGCTTCATATTGACTAGTCCCAACACCCAAATTTCATACCCCAAACCCTGGCAGCGTACCATAACGTACCCGTCCAGCAAGGGAATGAATGTCGACCTTGAATTCATGCCGAATTGATACTAAACCCAAAATTAACCGATCCAATGAACACACCGCCCTAGCAGCATCTAGGCAGCTTCTCACCAACGAACTGCGCATTATGCAAACCTGAACTTGTCTGAAGGGCACGCCAACAAGATATTGTTGACGTATTGTAAGATACTTTAAATATATCCGAAGCCCTACACCCACCT